AATCTATGCTTGGACCTTTCTAGAAATCCTCCCCTTAGGGTGCTGTTCATGTTGAGCTGTTTCACTGGGTGAGCGGCAGGCTATGGTGGGAGAGAACCTGCTGGGCACTAAGTGCTAGTGCTCCTTTGTTTGCACTATTGGAGCTACATGCTGGAGAAGCTGTCCATGCTGCATATGGGTGCAGGAGCCTGGGGAAGCAACACATACCAACCAGGAAAGAAAATCCTTTTCTTTTGCAAGGTCTCTCTAGTGCCCTCTCTTTGAAAAGTTTGACCTCATGTTGTCTGGTAAAGAAAAATATTTAAATGGTCCGGTTCCATTTTAAAGAGCAGGCAACGAAGGGTGAATTTAGAGCTGAGAGGAAATAAATGACATGTCACACTCACTTTTCCTTAACAAATGTTTTAGGAATTAGTGGTATCCATTAACATTCTTGATGTTTAGTGATGGGGTCATGACTCAAGTATAGAGTGCTTGTCTAATAAGGGCAAGGCCCTGGATCAATCCCCAGCACTGCAGTTCTTGGCATTTTCTTTGTGTGGAAATCCATCCATTCATTCATTCGACAAACACTTATTCAGAGATTGTAATGTTTTAGGTACAGGCAATTGCTTAATAACAACATCTCCCATTCTTTCTTAATAATAAAATTCTAATTTTGTGCTTCACCTTGCCATAGGATTCAGGGAAGTCTGGTTCCAGCCTCAGTTCCTAGTCTAGCTCCATGGTTTGAATCACAATTCAATTGTAATATACTTCTGGCCAAGAGGAAGTGTGCACAGGGGCTTCCAAAATAGGTTTTTCCATCATCTTAAAATGATGCTATTTAGAAAGAAATGATTCTCTTCTCTTGCTGGATATTGTCAGATATTCATGTCATGTCTGAAACACTGGTGACCATCTCGGGCCTTTGAGAGAAGGGATACAGTTTAAGCAGACCCTGCTGTGTACAGCAGAGTAGGAAACAAAATAAATGGAAGAATTATTCAAACCTAAAAACACCTACTTCTAGGTTTCTTGTTCTAAAATCATTTTGAATTGCTACTTGTAGCTAACTGATATGCTAGACAGTTGGGATGACACATATAAGATACTGTCTTTGTTCCCAAGAGGCTTACAGTCTGATCAGAGAAACAAAGAAGTGAAACAAAAGTTTATGATTGCTATGGTAAAAGAGGTTAGTGGTTAAATTCAAATGCAACATGCTAGTTTCAAGCTAACTACAAAATTGAATTAGAAAAGAGAAACAGATCAAGAGCAAATGTTTCATAAAGTTGCCTTTTGAAGGGAAACATTTCCAGGCTTCCCCATAAAAAATTATGTAATGCAATATATTTGATCAGAGTTTTTCCTCTCTGCCCTGAAACTCTTCCTGCTAATAGTAGAAAATGATTAACATTTGTTAATTAATGTTATTTTTCCAAAAACTATAAAAATTAGAAGAAAGAGAAATACAAAGTTACAGTTTCAGTGAATTTTGGTAACAACTATAAGAAACCTTTCAATATTCTTCTACATGCAATAGTGTAGGTATATATTCAATTACAAAGAATGTGCTTTTTCTTACGTCTAGAACTGGGTTCCCAAATGCAGATCTGTCTTACATTTCTCTTTGAGCACTTGATAGGGTTTGGATAACTGTCCCACAAGAGTCCAAGTGTCACAGATGTGGTCCCTTGTCAGTGGCACTATTGGTAGGTGATAGACCTTTAAAAGGTGCCATCACAGGCCAAAAGCTACAGGGCTATCTGATCATGCATTGAAACATCCAAAACTGTGAACCAAAAGAAGCTTTTTCTCTTCATAAGTTGATTGTTCCAGGCATTTGTTATAGTGATGCAAAGCTAACATAGCACTCAATTGAGAATTCTAATGAGCTATTTGCTAGTGTAATTAAAGAGCAGACTTAATCTCATTCCAACTGAAATCGTTGGAAACAGAAACAGATTACTGTACTTTCACAGTTAAGTTGAGCGACCCTTATCTGTATCTCAAATTTTTCTACAGCTTCCATTTGTTTATGAGTGCTGTGGCCTCTTATTTACAGGCTGAATGATGATTTCTGTGCTTTCCTTGTTGAAATCTTCGGGATGGTTGCAGAGTTTTTTTTCTCTTCTGAGTAATTCAGTAGAAAAAGAACTTTTATTTAGTAACAACACTCCAGGAACACTTCTACCTCAGGACCTTAGTACCTACTATTCCCTTGGCCTCACAGTCTCTTCCTTCAGTTTCTGCATGGACCTCTCCCTTGTCTTCAGTCACCCTCTTGTTGAGGCCTTTCCTGGTCATCCTTTCTAAATTCCAGTTTTTCCCTTCCACTTTATTCCCTTCCCTCATTTAACTTTTCTTTCTTAGCAGTTTTTAATAGCTAACATTATTGATTAGGGGCTTATGTTTCCATAAGTTCTGTTTCCAGAATGAAGGCAGGAATTTTTGTCTATTTGTCCATTAAATACCATGAGGGCAGGAATTTCTGTTTTCTTGCCTAATGAATCCCCTATATCTAAAACAGTACCCAGCATATACTTAGGTCCTTGGTGAATATTCATTGACTGACTTACAGTGAAATGAGGCCTGGCTTCTGATTCACAAAGACTTGGGTTAGAATGTAAGACTTTCTGTTTGGCCTAGGGTAACTCTCTTCACCTCTCTGAGTCCCAGTTTCCTCACCTATAAAATTACCTTGTAAGGTATTTGTTCTATGAGATGATGTAGGTTAAGTATGTGATCCTTTTGGAAGTTTCCTTTTCAAACTGAGGGACACCTCAGAGATTTATTGTTTGCTATTTTCCCTCCTCTTTCTATAAACCTTCTTTGTGTATCAATCAAGGTTCCAATAGGAAACACTTTGGAAGGTACACTCACATGGGGGCCAACTGAGAAGGATTTAATTTACAAAGGGTCAGAGGAGGACTGAGGTCTAGGGGAACATAGAGAAGGAACTTAAGGAATATCAGAATAGTCATGATACCTGGATCCAGAGGGACAAGGGGAAAGAAGGAGAGTTGTCTTGAAAGGAGGAGCCTTAGGTGACCTCACAAGTAGGGAACCAGGGGAATAAATAGTAACCTCACATTCCTTTCTCTGTCTGATAATGACCTCTTGCTGGGGCTCCTGTCATCAGATAAGCCAGATGTCTGGGGAACTGGGTGATGTCAATCATTCAGGTTAGTCCTCTGTGTAGAGAGCAGGTGGGGAAAGATGGAGAGTGAATCTTGGGGAGTAAAAGGAAGCTTGCCAGCCCAGTGCCCTTACTAGGTGTCAAACACTGGCTAGGCAAGCAATAGAGTAAAGGATATGGTTCCATTCTCAGGGACTGACATTTGGGTTGGGATGATGTTTTGATAAATAGAACTTCAACCCGATGTGACAAGCATCATACACAAGCCAACACAGAGTGCAATGGGCCTTATGAGACGTGTATCTCTTCCACAACTTAAATGGAGGGCGCTGCAGATACTGGTGCTGATGGTTTGTGGGGGAAAGTTTCCTGGAGATTCAGGTGAGTAGGACAATAAAGAGCTCATTTTGAAGGATGACATATTGAGTCTATTTTAAAGCATGATAACTTCTTTTAAAAGATGAAATGAACTTCCCAAGATGCTTTTCTTTTTTTTTTCCTTTTTTTAGTGGTAGTGGGGTTTGAACTCAGGGCCTCACTCTTGCCAGGCAGGTGTTCTACCACTTGAGCCACTCCACCACAATTATAACACAAAAAGATGGGATTAGATGCAGAAGTGAGGATGTAAGTGAGAAGTAGATGGGGTGATTTAAAAGGTTCTTCCCCAGCTTTGACATTTTAATCGTTTAGTTATTTTGTTGTTCTGTTGCTTCTGAACAGATAGAATGTCGATCTACAGTAAATGCAAACCACTACAAAGTTTTGTAATTATCTCTTATTCACAGAATTTGGCTTTAAGTTTCATCAATGTAGGGTCCTGACAAACTTAAAATAACTAAATTTAGGTGGGAATACAATATTTGAAATAAAAAAATTGTGTCAGTTTCTCACATAGTGAAACTTTAAATAATGCAGAAAGGGGACTGAACTATACTTGTCCAAAATGCTAATAGGCAAGTTTAATTTGGGTTAATATTCATATTATTTGACATTTTCTTCATATTCATTGTTCTAAACCTCTATGAAAAACCCTACATGATTCTGCATCTGTATAATTTCTAACCAAAACAAGCAAACTCATTACTTCGCAGCTGTACATAGTCATGAGAAAGATGTCTAAATATGCATTTTAAGGTTAAACAGCAAACACACATGGATGTGTGAAGGGGTCAAACTAAAAGAAGGACGAGGGAGTGGCTGGCGGAGAGAAGGAGAAGGGACCTGAGAGGGAAGGAAATAAAGTTTTCTGGGTACTTTCCCAAGCACCACAATTTGCGATAGCTTTGCATCTTACCCTCCTGGACGGCCAGCAAGACCCTGGTGCACTGAATTTGGAGCACCGAGAGATCACTGCAGTAATTGTTTTCTCTGTAATTAGATGCAATTATTGTGAAACGTAGTGAGTTGCTTGTCCACAGTCACAATCAAACCGGAATTTCCAGAAGCATCCCTACCACTGTAGCTACAAATGTCAAATGGCTGGGAGAAAACATAACCCATAATTACAAGCAGAACCAGAGAGGGAAGCGTGGGCGGAGATACTCCAAACGGCTTCACAAGAAGTTTGCGATGTATAGTTGAGAAATCCAAAGAAACGAGTTAAATGCGACAAGGACAAACGCGGTGAAGGCAACCGACGAGCCCAGGCCAGCGCGTCTCCGTCAGCCCGAGCCACCCCGAGGCGGATCCTGGCCTTCACCGTGGCTCCTCTAGGCTCTTCTCGCACCGCCCCCTTTTCCCATGAGCCCCGCCCGGCTCCCCTTCCCCGGCGTCTGGCCCCCCGCCCCCCACGACAGCGGCTGGCTCCGCCCACCGCAGGCAGAACGGGGCTCCGCCCACCCTCTCTGGGACGCGGCCCTACGCTGAGGGGAGGGGCAGTGCTCCCGAGCGGGAGGGAGATCCGCCGAGGAGTTACGGGAAAGTTGGTCCCGAGTTCCTGGAGTTTCCCTCTGTGGTGCCCCGGGCTCAGCCGGCCGGTGCCCCGGCTCCTCCTTTTCCTTCTGGCCTTCACAGTCCACCCAGTCCCATTTTCTGTCACCGGCCACCATGGAGCAGCCGCCGGCGCCCAAGAGGTAAGAACTTGTGGAGCAGAGCGGGGAGGACGAGGAAAGCGGCGCCGCGGGGCGGGGGCGGCTAGGCCCGGCCCTGCCGCGACCGTCCCCGCCCGCCGAGGCCCGGAGGCAGCCCGAGAGCCCCACGGTGTTTGTCCCCGAGGCCGGGAGCCTCGAGGGGAGGCCGAGCCTCACCTCCCCTTTGCCCGCGGACCTGGCGCGCGTGGAAAGTCGCCCGAGGCCCGGCCTTGGGGCGGGTAGGCGTTCCCTCGTAGCAAGTTCACCCAACCCGGAGACCTCAAACGAGGAAATTACTTCTTACAACCTTGTCAGGTGTTCTTAATGTTGCCTTCTTTCTTTCTTTTGAGAAGATGGGTTGTTTACTTAGAGTTTAACGAATCAAGTATTAATAGCTACAGTGTAAAACTTACTGCGGATATGCTGCACTGACAGGTGTTCCTCCCCCTGCCCCCTCAAGTTCGAAAGAATTTATGGATGCAAACAGGAGGAATCTTAAATTAGAATCCCTCCTCCATATAGTTTTGCATGCTTTGGTATGGTATTTGTTTATATTTAATCTTTGATATATTGGAAACTCTGCCTACACAATAAATGGGCTTAAATTAGTATTTGCCATGATGTTAGGAAGGTAAATCAGTATTGTTTATTGGTGTAAGTACATGATGCGCACGCCCCCCCCCCAAGAATAAATTAACTAAGGGACGCTGGGTAAAACATTTAACCTCAGTCTTTCATTTTTAATTTATAAAATAAGGGTACTAATTTCTCTCTGAGAGACTTGTGAAAATTAGAGTTCATGTGCTTTGACACGTAGAGTTCTTTAGATGCAAAGTGTTGTAGTCAAGAAAGCCGAATATGTAAACGGGTGGGGGCTTTGGGAGCTATTGTGAAGGTATGGCTAGATAGGTGAACCTTGAAGCCTGGAAGCCATCTGTTCAGGTGAAAAAAGGGAAGTTTCCAAAGGGACCCGCTATCAGAACCCTGGAAGCAAGTCACCTTGATAACTATTTCTAGCACTTGGTAAGATGTCTGTTTTCTAGTATTCATCAGGCACCCAGTTTTAATGCTGTAGGAGAATGTTGGGAACATTTTTTCCTTTCTGCCTTGGAAGGCATCTCTAACCTAATGTCATAGACCAACTCTAAATTGTAGAGGCTTTCTCTATTGATTAGCTCCAGTGTAAGTTATGAGAGTTTTATTATAGGTGTTAAGAGAATCTTTGCTCTAATCAGAGACATTAGACAACCTGGAGGAGTCAGAAGAAGGTGTGTGTGATAATTCCATGTATACTTTTTAAAGTGGTGGTTGCACATAAAATAGACTCTTCACAGTCTTTTTTATTATTATTATTTTATTTATTTTTTTTGAGACAATGTCTTGCTGTGTTGCCCAGGCTGGCCTTAAACTCTTGTGCTCAAGTGATCTTTCTGTCTCTGCCTCCTGAGTAGCTGGGACTATAGATGCATGCCACCACTTGGCCCAGTAAGGCATTTCTGAAAAATGAGATATGTGATAATAAACCTCCATATGTGAATATCTCTTAATTTTTTCATAGCATTTTCATATTCATAAATATATACATATTTAATATAAATATACCCATACATGTATACATATATGTATACACACACACATATATATGTATGTCAGGAATTGAACTCAGAGTCTGCACTTGCTCTGCCACCTGAGCCACACCCTCAGTTCCTTATTCATATTATTCATAATATTAAATCATCATAGCAACTCTGTGGAGTAAGTTGAATTATAGACAGTAATTCTGTTTTATAGATGAGAACACTAAAAGTGTGCCTCATGGAAGGCTAGGACAGGAATTACAGTTTTGTGTTGCTCCTTTGATCATTACTGTCTAATAATAAATCAGAGCTATCACTTTTTTTTGGTGGTACTGGGGTTTGAACTCAGGGCTTCATGCTTTCTAGGCAGGCACTCTCCCACTTGAGCCACTCACCAGCCCTTTTTTGTGTTGGTTATTTTTGGAAGAGGGTCTCACTTTTTGCCCAGGCTGACCTGGAACCTTAATCATCCTGATCTCTGCCTCCCAAGTAGCTAGGATTACAGGTGTGAGCCACTGCTGCCCAGCTTAGCTACCATTTTTGCCAGGAAATTCATGTGGTAATGTGTCGCTTAACAACTAGGACATGTTCTGAGAAACTCAGTGCTAGGTGATTTTGTTGTGCAAATATTATAGAGTATACTTAAACAAGTTGCATAGAAGGCTATGGTGTTACTGGGTAATATGATATTATGTACCCATGTATATGTGGTCTTTCGTTGATAGAAATATTGTTGTGTGTGACAGTCCATACCTCCTTTATTTAATCATTTTAAGAAATAGTAGTCCTGACTCTGCTACTTAATTAGGCTAGCTCTAAATTTGAAGTTCTCATCTGTAAAATGTATTGTGGGGATTAACTGAGGCTATATGCAAAGCACTAATACTGTGTTCCTAATGTGTTCAATAATGTTAACTTGTTCCTTATTAAATGAGACGCAGAAGGTTACGTAGCTTGGCCAAGGGTGAAAGAGCCAGAATCCTGAGTCTGATTGGCTGTAAAGGCTGTATATTCTCTTATTATGTACAGTAATGCCCTTTATCATTTCATAATGTAGTGGTAATTTTTTTCTACAATCTCTTGGTCTGCTTTTCTTATTCTCTTTTTAGAATGCCATGTAGTTTTTCTGTCTTGAGTTGTACTTCCTTAGCACTTAGACACTTTTACATGGTCACATCTATGTTGCTTACTCAAGGTTGTATGACCAGCTGCTGTTGCTCAGTTGGCATTTTTGGTTTTTTCACATAGGACTACTCTTTCATTACCTCATCTAGTTTGTCACTAGGTCCCTACCACATTTTTCATTAAAATGTTTGTGGATTCTTTCCCCACTTTTCATTCTCATGATTACTACTCCTTTCGAGGGTGTTATGATGCTCATGCTGCCTTCTAAGATGGCACTTTAGTAGAATGCTTTTCAAAAATATTTACTAGCAGAAGGGCTCTGTTTGATGCAGGGCTAGGCAGCAGGACCTGGTTCCTAGTCTCTTATTCCTTTTCTTCTTTGCTGTCCCACAGAGCCTTTGAATGCTCCATAGAACATAGTTTGCCCTATCTCGTCCTGCATAGAGCTCTGATTTATTTTGCTAAAATAGCACTTCAAGTGTGATTCCTTTTTTTTTTTTTTTTTTTGATTAGGGACACACTTGTCTATTTAGATCCAAGGCCTCCATCTCCAACACTTGGTGTTAGTTTTATACCCCCAGCCTTCTGTACTGTTCTCCAAGTTGAATTTGCCCTCATAAAATTTCCTTGGTGTTCTTTATTTGAGTTGTAGGCTGTGGGTATTCCCAATTTTGCCTTTGTTCATGCTTTTCCTTTAGAAGAGTTTCTGTTATTATTATTATTTTTTTGCCTATAATCTGTTTTATTCTTCCTTCAAGCTCTGCTTCTTAAAGTATCTTCTCTTGGTACTTTCTAGCCTGAGATATTTCTCTGCATTCATAAGATGATACTCGTTTGATTATGTGTCATCTTCTTATTGTCTTTTTTAATAAAATTTTAAACATCTAAAAGATAATGGGAACTAATTTAATAAATACTTATGTATATAAACCCGGCTTAAGAGAGAAAACATTACCAGTACATTTGAAGTACCTGGTGTATATCTCTTACCAATTGCATTGTTTTCCATCCCCTAAAGTTTGATTGGTATCCTGAGTTGGGTATTTGTCCTTTCCATACATGTCTTTGTGTTTTTAGTATGTTACTTATGTACACACATAAATAGCATCAGGCCTGGCTTTGTCTTTGTGTTTTTAGTATGTTACTTATGTACACACATAAATAGCATCAGGCCTGGCTTTGTCATTGACTTTAAAGGTTGCTTTTTTGGGTATCATTCTTCTCTGGGAGTTGGAGATTTCATTGTGCACTCAGGTTTAAGAATTCTGGACTCAAGAGTTTAAGACAATGTGTAAGGTGCCCCTCCCCTCACATTCATTGTTTTGGTCTCCCTGATAAGACTTGTGTAAAACATAGACAATAAATATGGTCACTCTGTCACTGACTGACTTGAGGTTCTGGAATGGCTTTTAGATCCCCAGATTTCTTTAACAGATTTGTTATAGAGGTCTTTAGAAGTAGAACTCTGGTTGTTAGAGGGTAGGTTTGTAGTTTTATACAATACTTGTCAAAAAAGAGGGAAGCAGTGGCTGGAGAGAGATGCTTTACCAGATAGGCCTTGTTCCTCAACTGGATTATAAGATTAGTTGTTAAAAATTTAACTTTGTTGATTGGTTGGATGTAAAGTTGGTGTGTAGCAATGAAAACACTGGAAGGATAGAGAGTAAGCTGTTGAAGTATACTGTCAAGGCGGGCAAGGAGAGTTCTGTGGCAATTATAAAATAGTATGCCAGGGTTGTTGGGGGAAGTAACATTGAAGATTGAAGTTCAAATGTGAGGACTTCAGACTGTATCTCCATAAATGAAAGGTGAAGATAATCATAAGACAAATGTTGCTATGATCAGAAAGAGAGAGATTGTTTTTGAATAAAAAAGCAAAGTAAAGGGGGTGAGGATACAGGAGAGTGCAGTAGAAAGTATACATGCATTGCTCAGCATGAAGCGCTTTCACCAGCCTGTAGGTATAGCCCTTACCTCGGCTGGGAATTACAAATGGAGATCCATGACAGAGAACTCTCAGCTCTCAGGAACTGGATTGGGTGGGAGGGACAAAGCAACAAACCAGTTTAGATTGTAGAATATCAAGAATATTATGAAGATGTTGCAGTGAGAAGGGGGGTGGTAGTGATGAACTTCATGATATGTCTGTATTCTTAATTGATATGTTCTTGGAATGTTGGAAGATAAATTCTTGTATGCATATTATTAGAGAGATTCACTAAGTGGAGACTTGGAGTTGTCTTTGAGATGACAACTAAGAATTCTTAAAAAAAACTAACAGCAGCCTTAGAGAGGAAGCCC